AGTGTTGGAGGGGTTGTGCAAAGACAGGCACACCAATACATTGTTAGTGGAGCTTTGAAATGGTACAACCATTTTTTAGAAGAAATTTGGATTTATGAAAATAGTGACAAAAATGCCCATATCTTTTGAACCAGAGACTCAGTTGCTGAACTTATACCCCAAGGAAGCCACTGAGAAGAAAAAAAATTCCCATATACTACAAAATATTTATAGCAGCCCTTTTTGTGATAGCTAAGAATTGGAAACAAAGTAGTCATTTGGGGAATGAATAAACAAATTGTGGTACACTAATGTAAAGGAATATTACTGTGCATTAAGAAACTATGTGTGTACATGACATCATGGAAAGATTTACATAAACTGATGCAAAGTGAAGTAAGGGCCAAGAAAACAAGAGTCAAGAAAATAATATACACAATGACTACAATAATGCAAATGGAAAAACAATGCAACAAAAAATCAAAAGTAAATGTAACAAAATTATAAAGATCAATCAGTACTCAAATAAAGAGATAAGAGAAGATACTTCCACCTCTTTGTGGAGATGGTAAGTCCACAGGTGTTACATATTGCTCACATTTTGGAACTTTTCTTATGTATTGATCTGTGCTGATTTTTTTTTTCCTCTCTAAAAAATACTATTTGTCACATAGGATAGTTCTTTGAGAGGAGGAGGAAAAGGGATACATTGGATGGATACTATGGCGGTGTAAGAAACAGAACATAAAAATAAAAACTTATTTAAAAAAAAATACGCAAGAGAGCTAAAAGAAGTTCCAAAGGGAAACTACTGACTTAATATACCCTTTTTAAAAAAAAAACAAGCTGTACATAATAGATATTTGGTCATATATTTCTATTTATCTGTTCATTGTTTAAAGAAAGTTCATGTTTGTTGATTTTTGTCAAGTTCATAATAATAAGAATTTTTTTTTAAAGAAAGGACTGATAGTTTCTGATGGAGAAAAGGAGGTGGTTTCCTGGAACTGTACAAGACACTTTCCCTCTGGGCTAAATTTCTTTATGTATAAACTGGACAAGGAATTTGGGAGGCAGGTTCTACTAGGTGATGCCTTACATCTCTGAATCTATGGTCCTATGGGGGTGGAGAGGTTTCGAGGGAGAGGAAATTGGAGAGTGGAGAGAAGGCTTCCTGTAAGAAGAGTAATGTAATAATGCTTTCTGCTGCTTTGCTCTCCAAGTGCATTTCCAGAATTGGAACTTTGAATACAATCAGTACCTTTGCCTTACTCATCTATGCCCACTTCATCATTCACACAGAATGTTCTGAGTGGAATAACTCAATAAAGTTTATTAATTTGCTGTTGATGCCTGGGCTTCGCCTACTACTGAGCTGAGCAGTAGATACCTAAAGACCTGATTTTTAGTTTTGGCCCTTAGAATGATAAGGTGATATGTCAAGTTGGCCTCAGTTTCCTCCTGCTTTAAATAAAGGTGTTAAATTACATTACACTTACCCCTAAGATCATTCTTAGCTATGCCTAATGTCTTAGCAATCCATGTCTGCTCCTGGACCAAAAGTGCATTCTGGGCTTTGTAAACCACTCTACTCTTCATTGCTAAGACAAAAGCAGGCAAGTGGTTGTACGAGAAACTGGAAGGGACTTCCCTCTCATACGTACAAGAGAAGTAATTCAATCCCCGTGGGATTCGACTCCTAGACTTAACTGTTCTCCTGTGATTGGTTGGCAGCCCTGGTCCACCCCCATTCTATTCTGCTGTACCTTCTCCTTCCTTCTCTTTGCCCAGGTGTCTTGGTCCCTCAGGGTAACTTCTGTTTACAGAGAGAACACCTGTCTAAACTCAGTTCTGTTGCTATTCTCGCTTTTCAGGCTTCTGACCTCCCACAAGTAGAAGTGGGAAGAGGATCATCCTTGCCCTCGCCCTCTAAACAGACAGAACAGTGAGGGTAAGTGAGGTAAGAAGGAAGGCTATTGATTAAAAAATGGAGTGTTTGGGGAGGGCTCCCCTGGCACCTCGGCCCCCACATCTCTCCCCCCTCACTCCTCATCCCTGTTCCTACAAAAAGGAGCTTCATGTTCGGCTCCCAGGCTCCAGCAGTCCCTCTTCATCCACCCCAGGCTTCTCTAACTCCTTTTCCTTATGACCACAGGGGTGTTCTGTCCATGGGAAGACTAGAGGGAGGCAAGTCCTAATACTTGGTCTTTAAGGAGGAGCCAGGATTGGGTGGGGGGAGAAGGGGGGGTTCCTCATGATCCTTCCTGTTCTTCCACTGCTGTTGTTTTCTCATTTCCATACTTCTACTTCAACAGGTGAAGATGCCTCCCTTGCTGGCCAGGCCCCCTGACGGTGGCTGGGGCTGGGTGGTGGCAGGGTCTGCATTTGTGGTGAACGGGCTCTCCTATGGGCTACTCCGATCTTTGGGCCTTGCCCTCCCTGCCTTTGCAGAGTACTTTGACCGAAGTACCCAGGACACTGCGTGGGTCAGCGCCATAGCTCTGGCTGTGCAGCAGGCTGCCAGTGAGGAGGGCCCTAAACAAGCCGTGATGGGGGGAGGGGAAACAGATGATTTTAAGGCTTCAGTAAGGACCAAATCATAGTCCAGAAGATACAGCAGAGGGCGTAGCTAAGAAGAGGGCCAAAGAACTAATCCAGCTACTAGCCTAGAGGACAAAAGTGGGTGGAAGCATAGCAGAAAGGTGGGTCCCATAGGGTTTTGGGGGGGGAGGGGGATGGTTGGGTCAGGGCACCTTGCAAGCAGAAACCAAACTGAGGTGGGATGTCCTAGAACTGACTCCAACCCCCATCTCTCCCAGGCCCAGTGGGCAGTGCTCTGAGTACCCGTTGGGGGGCACGTCCCGTGGTGATGGTGGGAGGTATCATCACTTCCCTTGGCTTCATTCTCTCTGCCTTTGCCAGCAGCCTCCTGCACCTCTACCTTGGCCTTGGCCTACTTGCAGGTGAGGTGGGAGATGGAGGGAAGTGGGGTGCCTGCATTCCTTGAAAGAGTTGGACTTTGGGGGAGGAGGAGGTCAGGGTAGTATGCCTGGGTCCTCAGAGGCAATAAGGGTTAGGTCATTGACTTCAGCTGTTTTCTTTTCTGTAGGCTCTGGCTGGGCTCTGGTGTTTGCCCCTGCCCTGGGCACGGTCTCTCGATACTTCTCCAGGCGCAGGGTCCTGGCAGTGGGGCTAGCTCTAACTGGCAACGGGGTGGCCTCTTTGCTCCTGGCCCCAGTTTTGCAGCTCCTCCTTGATGCCTTTGGCTGGCGGGGTGCCCTGCTCCTGCTTGGGGCTACCACCCTCCATCTCACCCCTTGTGGAGCCCTGCTCCGGCCTTTGGCTCTCTCTGGAGATCCTACTACCCCACCTCACAGTCCCCTTAATGCTCTTGGTCTCACCCTGTTCACCCACCCTGCCTTTGCTGTGTTCGCACTGGGGACAACCCTGGTAGGGGCGGGTTATTTCATTCCCTATGTGCACCTTGCACCCCATGCCCTGGACCTTGGGCTTGGAGGATATGGGGCAGCTCTGGTGGTTGCTGGGGCAGCAGTGGGGGATGCAGGAACCCGACTGGTCTCTGGGTGGCTGGCAGACGGTGGCTGGATCCCTCTTCCACGGTTGTTGGCCATGACTGGGGCACTGACAGGGCTGGGGCTGGTGGCAGTGGGGTTGGTACAGGAACAAGAAGAAGAGTGGGGGGGAACCCTACTGGCAGCAGCAGGAGCCTACGGGATGAGTGCAGGTGCATTTGCTCCACTGGTGTTTGGTGTCCTGCCTGGTCTTGTAGGGCTTGGGAGCATCTTGCAGGCCACGGGGCTAGTGATGATGCTGATGAGCCTAGGGGGACTCCTGGGCCCACCACTTTCAGGTAAGGGAGCCAGACACACAGGATGATCCAGTTCCCCTTTCCTGCTCTGAGTCTCTACTTTCCCTAGGGGAGAGAAGTTTTTAATCTCCCCATGCCTCTTTTCTCCTGTTCCACAGGTTTCCTCCGGGATGTGACAGGTGACTTTAAAGCTTCTTTCCTTTTCTGTGGCTCCTTCATCCTTTCTGGCAGCTTCATCTACCTGATGCTCCCTGGGGCCCTGCCCCGCTGTCACTCTGCTCCTCCTCCCCCAACACCTCCTCCTGAGCAAGGAGAGCTCCTTCCTTCACCTGAAAGTACCCTGGCCTCCCCAAACGATCCTCATTCCATCCCAAACACTACTTGTTGATTCCTTTTTCTTTCCCTCTTCCCTCCAAATAAAATTACTGCCAAGCCCTTTTGTCTATGTTCAAACCCATTAAACAACCCAGAAAGTTGAGGAAATTATAAGTGAGAGGGATAAGAGGGATGGGAGATTGTATATTATTAGGATTCAGGGAACCCCCAAATTGGGGGAGCCAAGTATGGGGGACAAGGCAGATTCCCTTTATTCTCCCTAACAGGTAGGAGGTTGGCCTTGGGTGGTACCAAGGGAAGGTATCTTGGTTTTGAGCAAGGAAAATGATAATATATGTCCCCACCCAGATCTCTGAGCAGGACCCGAAACATCATGGTCTCTTCTCCCTGCTCCCTCCCCTTCAGCATCTTTCCCCACTAGGACCCTATGACATTTTACCAATTTACTCTTTCTTTTGGTCTGGGGGACCCAGTAATCTTGTTGGCAGCTCTCAGTCCTCCCTGTCAAGTCTTGATTCCCTCCTCAGAAAAAGAGGTGGCAAATACAAAAAAGGACCTATAGTACAGAAAGCAAAGTCTGACCTGACTTCGTCCATGACAGCCCAGCTCTGGAGACAGGCTAAACAGGCATCCTAAGTTCTCAGGCCATGACCTTATCCATCTACCACCAACAGTCCTCATCCCTCTCCTGTTCTCAGAGATATACTCATCTTGATTTTCCTTGGTTCGGAAGTTGAAAAAGGCTAGGACACCTTGGGCCAATTAAAAAAGCATCAGACAGGTCCTTGCCATGGGTCTTTGATCCATAGCTTGAGGCTGGTAGTGGAAGTAAAGGGAAGAAAAACAGTAGAGGGCCTTGAACTCATGTGGTCTTTACAGCCTTGGAGACAACAAGAGGGTAAAGGGGAAGGAGGGAAGAGTTACAACAAAGCCACAAAAGAAGGCTTAAGAAAACACAACATATTGGGTGAGACCTAACCATCATCTGCTCCTAAGCAGGCATAGAGAGGTAGATATAAATAGCTAAGGTTCTCAGGGGAGATGAAGGCGAGGAGTTGCTGGAACCTTGTCTAAGTTAAGGGTCTTGGGCCCCTGGGCTTCCTTCTCCACACTCAGCCTTTCTAGGGGAGACTCTGACTTCCAATGACTTTGTCACAGAATATTGTTCTGTAGCAGAAGGTCTGAAGCAGCTGAAGAAGCCAGGAAGGATAAAGAGCATCATGCTCCCACTGAGAAGGAAGGCTCCAGTCACCACAAAGGAAACTGTGTAGCTGCCTGTCAAATCTCGGAGGTAGCCTAGGACAGAAGAGAGGGAGAAAGGGAACAGGTGAGTTAGAATCCATTCTCAACAACAGGTTAATTGGCAACATTCCAGTCGCTACTTTTCGGGCTTATTCGGTAGACAATTTAAAACCCTGGGTTAGCACCATCGCAGCCATCCCCCTGCCTCTGCATAGAATAATGCAAAAGGAAAATCCTAGGATGACTCCTTATTCAGAACCCAAAGGGGGCTTGGAATGAAGCAAGACTAAAACAATCCCACAGTCATATCTACTAGCCAAATTCTTCCCGTTCACGTTGCCCCCATTAACTATTTTTTTTTCGGGGGAGGCAATGAATCAATTAAGTGATCTGCCCAAAGTCACACAGCTAGTGAATGTTATGTGTCTAAGGACGGATTTGAACCCAGGTCCTGCTGACTCCAGGGCCGGTGCTCTGCTGCACCACTTGGCTGCCCCATCTCTCCCCCTGCCCCCATTAACTATTAACAGAGTCCAGGCTCTAGATGAACCTAAAAGCATCTAACTTCTCTTCCAATCCTAGGACTTTGATCAAATCTCAAGTCAGAGCCCAGTGGGACAAAAGCCAGAGAGGGAAAGTAGTTCAGGAGCACTTTAACCCTAACAGCTTGGGTAATCCCTTCAAAAAGCACAAGAGCTATCCCACTACCCTTTTTCTTCATTAGCCTACACTCTTTCCAGAAATTTAGCCATTCCCCAACTCCCTCTTTCCTCAGTGACCCTAGTATTGCCACCCCCCCCGCCCTCTTACCTGACAATGGTGCCCCCAACAGTCCCCCAATGCTCTCTACCATTTGTAACAGCCCTAGGCCGAAGTATACCCTTCCAACTCCAACAAGTTCAGGCAGAACTGAGAAAGCCACAGGGGTCAGGGCACCTGAAGAGAAGCCATAGGCTAGAGCCAGCACTGTGAGGACCAAGGATTGCTGTGCCACAGGGAGCAGGGCCAATGTCATCCCTGTCAGAAAAGACCATAGTGCCAGCAGCCGGGCCACAGGCCCTGGGCATACATCCCCCAGCCACCCTGAGAACACACGCCCTGCCAGGTCTGCCACAGCCACCAAAGACAGAAGAAAGGCAGCAGGCAGTGGATCCCATCCCAAGTCCTGGGTATGTGCCACAAGGTGGACATAGGGAACAAAGTAGCCAGCATTGATCAGGGTGAGGGCAACACAATAACATAGAAAGGGGCGGTGGTGGAACAGGGAGAGCAACTGAGCCATTGGGCTTCCAACAACAGGATCTTCTGCCAGTCTGAGAGGGCGAAGGAGCGCCCCACAGGCCACGAGGTGTAAGGAGAGAGCAGCTACTAACAGAAGGGCACCTCGCCATGCATAATAGGTGATAAGCCACTGGAAGAATGGGGCAAACACAAAGGAAGAGAGGCCTACGCCAGTCAATGCTAATCCTGTGGCCAGTGAACGACGTTTGGAGAAGTATCTGGAGAGGCAGGCCACGGTAGGGGTGAAGGACAGGGCCCAGCCGGTGCCTACCAGGAAAGAAAAAAAAATAAAAAGAGTCAAGGGCGTAGCTGACTTAGGCATATATACCCCTTTATGTTCTGTTCTCTCTGGGTCAAGGCATTCCAGACCCTTGATTCCTGATTCTCCTACTCCCCTTGGGGACTGAGGAGCCTTCCAGTTAGGTCCTGCAACCCTCCTTAGCTATCTTTTCCCAAGGGGTACAGAAGAGGAGAACATGGGATCCCAGAACCCAACAGAAGACCCAGGCAATCCTCCCTTGCCCAGCTTCCCCAGCCCCTATCACAAATAGTCACCAGATACGAGGCCGATGCTAAGGTAGAGGTGCATCAAGGAGGTCGCAAATGAAGCCAACATCATACCCAAAGCAGCCAAGATGCCCCCTGTGATCACCACAGGTCGAGGGCCAAACTGTGTACTCAGGGCACTGCCCACAGGGCCTGCAGATGTGGAGGGAGGGGAGCTGCAGGCAGGTTTTCTGGAGATGAGCCAGGGGTCTCAAACTCTCGCTCTGCCTCCCCTCAGAGAAGCAGGCATCCAGCCCCTTTCCCTCGGCATTGCCCCAGTCCTCCGTACTCCCAAACTGCTGCACGGCGATCCCAATGGAGGTGATCCAAGAGACCCGCGCCGCCGGCTCTTTGAACACTTCTACGAACTCCAAGAAGAAGACGCCGAAAGATCGCAGCACCCCAAACACCAGCGCGGACTGGAAAAAGGCTGAAAGGACCACAATCCACCCCCAGCCCCCATCGGGGGGCTCGACTCGGCTGGCCATCCCAAGAACAACAAGGAGGTGGCGCGGAAGGTGGACGCACAGCTCAGAAGGCTGTGATGCAAACGCGCACGAGCCGATGGTGCAAGCGCCCCACGCGGTTTACAGGGTAGGGGGGGGGCAGGGAACAGGGGTAAAAGGGAAAGCGGAAAAGGGGAAAGGGAAGGCAGCTCCAGCAATTCGTCCCCCACCCCCCAATAATGCGTTCTAGGCAGGTGCACACCTGAGGCAGTGGCCCTGCACTACTTACACTTTGCACTCCTCAACCCCCACCCCGCCACCACCACCACAACAGAGCGGGAATCCACTATAGTTGAGCAGGGAGCTGACCCAACCAGCTCCTAAAAAGGAAGTCTGGTTCCGCATAGTTGAGTTGTCTAGTCCCTAAGGAGGGTGAGGTCTAGGGACAAAGCACGCCCCTTTTCTTCCGTAACATCTGTAGCTTTTCTTTTACACCAATCAACAAGGGTCGGGTGATCTGTGGAAAGCCGCTGGGCGAGTGAATTGAGAAGGCCTGGGAAATCCTAGCATTCCCAGGTACAAACTAAAAGCTAGCACCCGACTGGAAAATCACTAGACCAGTGACTTCCAAGGATAGATACGAAGGTTCTTCATGTAACTGAAGGTAGCGGTACCCTAGTATGGTGTGCTAGTAAATATTTAACAATCGTCTCGGGTGGTGGTGGTGAATGAAGGCAGGACACTAAAATTTAATCTGCCTTATTAACATTTTTTCCATCATTTTCCTAAGTCTAGACAATAATGAAATAATAATCCAGGTCCTAATTTGTAACGTCTGCCAACTTCGGAGATGTAAATGCTCAAGTTGAAAATTTAACCATGGGATCTTAGGCTCAGTTAGGAACTGGCTCCAGCATGGTACAATCAATATCCAATCGAATCTAAAAGGCCTCAGGCTTCGATATTAATAATTATGCATTCCCAGTGCTTTTACCAAAATGGTTGAGATTATGGATGATGAGAAACTTGGGAAGAAGGGATGAATGAATCAACTCATATCAGTATGAACTGATATGGAATGAAGTAAGCAGAACCCTAGAACAATTTATACCACAACAACAATATTCTAAATATTGTCCAAAATAAGACATATTTTTGGATGTGTCAAATGTGCAGAAATTTGTGTTGCTTGACTATGCATATTTGTTACAAGGGTTTTACATTATTTTATTTTACATTAGAGAGGGAGAGAGGAGAAAGAAAAAATAGATTTTTGTTCATTAAAAGTATTTTTTAAAGTTACTTTCACATACTTAATCCCAATGAATCTCCACAACAATCCCTTGAACTAGACACTGCAAAGAGCTACCCCTATTTCAGAGGAGAAAACTGAGCCTCAGAAAGGTTGAATTGAAGTCATTACAGGTTTGTTGTGCCCAGTGTTTGCAAGGCAAATAGGGATTGTAGATTGTGCTTATTAATTTGTAAGGATGGGAAAGTAATATAATTTGGTAAATTGCTGATTTTTCTCAATCTTTTTTTAAAGCAATAGCTAACATTGATATTTTGAGGGATTTGGGGAGCACTGCCCTAGATATCTTGAGAAGTAATCTATCCCTCAACACCTTCAAAAATGTGCCCTCCAACAGGGAGGTGTGTACTTGGTCTATTCTAGATGCTTTTCCCATCTTTATTTTCTTTAGTGCCATTTTTACTTCCTAAGGTAGCACATTGGGGACTGTGATACTACAGTTCAAATGTGATATTTCCACTCTTATTGATAATACTGTTTATAATAGAAATCTTGAGAGATTGTTCCTTTTTTGTTGTTGTTGGCTTTCCTCCTTTTAGCTTCATCTTTAAATGCTCTTGGATAATCTGACTTATTTATATCCCTTACTAAGCTTTCTATAAAATTCTATAGAATTTCCATAAAATCTAAGAGTGGGAATACCAACATAAAGAGTTATTATGGTGGGAAGCTTAAGACACAAACCCAGAAGAGGAGAATGATTCCAAAACATCTACAAGCAAAGCTTCAGAGAAATACACACCTTGGGCACAAATTTTAATTCCTGAAAGAGATGAGTTGTTTTTTTTTTGAGTTAAAAATATTTTTATTAATGAAATGAGAACACTTGTGAAAAAAATTGGAAAAGATGAGAGCTATGGAACAAAGAACTGGAAAGGGAATTAATAGTTTGACACATAGGGTGCCTTATCTTTATGGGGAGGGAGGCACATGTAAAACCTTACCCAAGCCACAGACTCCTTTAAAATTAGAATTGACCAAATAAAAGCCAATGATTCCATGAGACAACAAGAAAAAAAGTAAAAGACTGAAAAAATAGAATAAAATGTAAAGTATCATAACAAAACAACTGAGCTGGAAAACAGATCAAGGAGAAAAACAATTAAAAATCATTAAACTATCTGAATGCCACAACCAAAAAAAAAAAAAAAAAAAGAGCCTAAACAGCACATTTCAAGAAATCTTAAAAGAAAAAAGAAAACTGCCCAGATATCTTGGAACCAGGGGGGAAAGTAAAAATAAAAGAAATCTACTGGTCACCTCCTAAAGAATGAAAATTCTCAGGAACATCATAGCCAAAAGCCAGAGCTTCCAGGTCAAACAAAAAATATTTTGAGTAGACCAAAACAAAGATTTTAAACACCAAGGACCCACAGCCAGGCTCATACATAATTTAACAACCACCATTGTAAAGGAGCAAAGTACTTGGAATACAACATTCTAGAAGGCAAAGGATATAGGCTTACAGCCAAGAATAACTTTCCCAGCAAAACTAAGTATAATACTACAGGGGAAAAAGTGAACCTTTAATGAAATGGAATATTTCCACGTGTTCTTGATGAAAAGATCAGAGATGGATAGAAACTTTGTAGTTCAAACACAGGAATTAAGAGAAACATAAAAAGGTAAACATCAATGAACAATGAATGACAAGAGATTAAACAAGGATAAAACTGCCTACATTCAAATATGTGTCCCCTCTATCATCATCAGGGGTCAAATTAGATCAGGCCTGGGAACGGTTCTGTTATGTCTTAATGACCTTAAGAAAAGAATGGAAAGAAGGGGGAAGAGGAATGCACTAGGGGGTAAAGAGAAAGAAAGGTTAGGGGAAATTATCTCATCTAATCAAAGTACGTAGAGATTTATCTATACAAACATGGAGGAAGGGGTGAGGAGACCAGCTAACAATTGAACCTCACCCTCATCTGATCCCCCCTCCTGGATAGTGGCAAAGAGGCTGTTAGCTTAATAAAACTATGAGCTATGCGGTGTAGGGCTACCCAAGACAGATGGATGATGGTGGAGAGTTCTGACAAAAGGTGATCCACTGAAGAAGAAAATGGCAAACCACTCCAATATCTTTGCCAAGAAAAACTCATGGACAGTACTAAAATGATAAAAGAGATAACATCAGAAGATGAGCCCCTCAGAAGAAAGAAAGAAAGAAAGAAAGAAAGAAAGAAAGAAAGAAAGAAAGAAAGAAAGAAAGAAAGAAAGAAAGAAAGAAAGAAAGAAAGAGAAAAGAAAAAGAAAAGAAGCTGGGTGGAAGCTTAACATAAAAAAAAACTAAGATCTTGGCAATTGGTTCCATCCTAGCAAATAGAGGGAGAAGAAATGGAAGCAGTGTCAGATTTTATATTCTTGGGCTCAAAGCTCACTACAGACAGCAACTACAGCTATGAAATAAAAAAACAAAACAAAAAAAAATACTTGCTCCTTGGAAGGAAAGTTATGGCAAATTTGGAGAGCATACTAAAAAACAAAGATATCACATTGCTGACAAAGGTCCATATAGTGAAAGAAATGGTTTTTCCAGTAGCAATGTATGGTTGTGAAAGCTGAGCACTGCAGAATTTATGCTTTTGAATTGAGGTGCTGGAGAAGACTTTTGAGAGTCCCTTAGACAGCAAGGAGATCAAAGCAGTCAATGCTTAAAAGAAATTAATTCAGACTATTCATTGGAAAGTCAAATACTGAAGCTGAAACTTAAATACTTTGGCCACATAATGAAAAGACAGGACTCATTGGAAAAAACCCTGATGTTGGGAAAGATTGAAGGTAAGAGGAAAAAGGGACAGCAGAGGATTAGATGGATAGATAGTATTATGGAAACAATGGACATGAATTTGGACAGACTTTGAGAGATAATTGAAGGACCTGGACATGACTGAAAGACTGAACAACAACTCATCTGATCTATCTAAAGGAAGGAAAAAATATACATACATGCACACACACAGAGCTGAGTACAGAAGTATAATTCAATCAATGGGGAAATAGGTAGGAAAAGGGACAAGGTGGGGAGGGAGAACTAGAGGAACAAACTAAGAATATACAAAAATATTTATGGCTTTTTTGAGGTGGCAAAGAATTGGATACTGAGGAGGTGCCCATCAGTTGAATAATGGATGAACAAAGTATGGTATATCAACGTGAAGGAATACTATAAAAAACAATGGAGCTGGTTTCAGAGAAACATGAGAAGATTTGTATTAACTGATGCAGAATCAAATGAATATAACCAGGAGAACAATTTATACAGTGACAGCAATATGGTAAAGGCAAACAATTTTGAAAGAATTAGGAACATTTATCAATATAATGAGCAACCACGAGTCCAGAGGACTAATTATGAAAGATGCCACCTACGTCCTGATAGAGAGGTGAAGGACTTAAAGTACAGAATGAGACAAATATTTTTTGTACATGGCCAATGTGGAAATTTGTTTTAATTGACATATTCATAACTAGTTTTATTTTTCTTTATTTTTCTTTTTTCTTTGATAATTAGTTTTTTAAAATTTATTTTTAGTTGGCAACATTCACTTCCATAAGATTTTGAGTTTTGAATTTTCTCCCTCACCCTCTCCCCCCCCCAAGATGGTGTGCAATTTGATATAGGCTCTATATAATGCATTCATATTAAACATATTTTCACATTAGTCATGATGTAAAGAAGAATTAAAACCAATGGGAGGAATAACGAGAAAGAAACAAAACAAAACAAAACAACAAAAGAAAAGGAGAGCAAATAGTACACTTCCATCTGCATTCAGACTCCAAAATTCTTTCTCTGGATGTGGATAGCATTTTCCATCATGAGTCATTTGGAGCTGTCTTAGAGAGCTGAGCTAAGTCTGAGAAGTGCCAAGTCTATAAAAATCAGTCATTGCACAATGTGGTTGTTTCTGTATACAATGTTCTCCTGGTTCTACTCATTTCACTCTGCATCAGTTCATGTAAGTCTTACCAGGTTTTTTTGAAGTCTGCCTGCTCATCATTTCTGATGGAACAATAGTATTCCATCTCATTCATATACCACAACTTGTTCAGCCATTCCCCAATTGATGGGCATCCCCTCAACTTCCAATTCTTGGCCACCACAAAAAGAGTTGCTATAAATATTTTTGTATGTGTGGGTCCTTTTCCCATTTTTATGATCTCTTTGGGATACAGACCCAGAAGTGGTATTGTTGGGTCAAAGGGTATGTGCAATTTTATAGCCCTTCAGGCATAGTTCCAAATTACTCTCCAAAATGGTTTCACAACTCCACCAACAATGCATTAGTGTTCCAATTTTCCCACATCCTCTCCAACATTTATCTTAGTCCTGTTTTGTCATGTTAGCCAATGTGTGTGGTGTTTGTGACCCCCAAAATAATCAAATCAGAGATTTTTCTTAAGAAATGCAAAAAGGAGTTTTATTGCTTTCTCATGAGAAAGGACACACCTAGCATTGGCTCAAGATGGCTCCAGCCAGGGTTCCAGGAAGTGTAACTCAAAGCCAGTTTATGTGGACCCTAAGGTGGAACCCCCACCCTCCCCCACCCTCCTCTTCCCATTGGCTGGTCTTTGGAGCTCACAGTCTAAGCGCAGAAACTTTTCCCCAGCAACAGGGTTTGCAAAAAGATGCAAACAAGAAACTGTTGGTTCAGCAGGAAAGTAAGAAAAAAGTAAGAAAAAAGGAACTGGAAAACCTGGACAAACAAGATACTTTTAAGGACATCCCCTGATGTACTCCCTTAACTTGTGTAATCAATAACCTAAT